GGCGTGTTGAGCCCCCAGCGCTCCTTCTTTACCTTTCCATCCAGTACAGGACGGGCGTGTTGAGCCCCCAGTACTTTTTCCTTTCTCCGGTACAGGACGGGCGTGCTGAGCCCCCAGTACTTTTCCCTCTCTCCGGTACGGGATGGGCGTGTTGAGCCTCCAGTACTATTCCCTTTCCCCTAGTGCATGGGCGTGTTGAGCCCGCACTAGCTGGACGGGCGTGTTGAGCCCCCAGTACTTTTTCCTTTCTCCGGTACAGGACGGGCGTGCTGAGCCCCCAGTACTTTTCCCTCTCTCCGGTACGGGATGGGCATGTTGAGCCCCAGTACTATTCCCTTTCCCCTAGTGCATGGGCGTGTTGAGCCCGCACTGGCTGGACGGGCGTGTTGAGCCCCCAGTACTTTTCCCTCTCTCCGGTACGGGATGGGCGTGTTGAGGCCCTGTACTATTCCCTTTCCCCTAGTGCATGGGCGTGTTGAGCCCGCACTGGCTGGACGGGCGTGTTGAGCCCCCAGCACTCCTTCTATACCTTTCCCTCCGGTACAGGACGGGCGTGTTGAGCCCCCAGTACTATTCCCTTTCCCCTAGTGCATGGGCGTGCTGAGCCCGCACTGGCTGGACGGCCGTGTTGAGCCCCCAGTACGTATCCTCTCCCCGGTACAGGATGGGCGTGTTGAGCCCCCAGTACTTTTTCCTTTCTCCGGTACAGGACGGGCGTGCTGAGCCCCCAGTACGTATCCTCTCCCCGGTACGGAATGGGCGTGTTGAGCCCCCAGTACCTTAGTGCACGGGTGTGTTGAGCCCGCACTGGTTGGACGGGCGTGTTGAGCCCCCAGCCATCCTTTGAATCTTCCCCTTCCACTCCGTACAATAGTGGACGGTATTTAATAGGAGATTCTGTTTCAGGCTGGGCAGTTGGAGCCAGACAGTCGTCAAGAACGGTCAGCAGGAGACAGCGCCGCTTGCTACAGGTCTACACCACTATTTGAAGGCTGGGCAGTTGGAGCCAGACAGCCGACGAGAGGTGTCAGCAAGAGACAGCGCCGCAGAATCGACATCACGGTTAGAAGGCTGGGCAGTTGGAGCCAGACAGCCGACGCAAGGTGACAGCAACGATAGGTTGCTCTCTGGGGAGTACGCCGTTGGGACGGCATTCCAGAGGATCGCAAGGACCAGTACGACGGTGAACACTGGTCGATAAATTGATGGTTGTCTTTGAAATACAAGGCCTATTATGTTTTAAAGAAATTGATGTAAATATTGTAAATAGCGCAAAATAAATGAGATCCGTTTGTAACAGTCTGAGTTGTCACTAACCTAGGAAATACCCGATAGGAAAAAGCCAGAAATATTTTGTAGGAGAGTGAAAGGGACTTTTCTCCTTTTTAAAAGGGAAAACTTCCTTACAATATACAGAGTGAGTTTCTACTGACGCCCATAACTTCGCCAGTGGATTCTACTGATCAAAATGAACAAAAAAGTTGCAATAAACCCTAGTCCGATTCCAAACCGTTTGGTCGTAATTGAGAATTTTGTGTTTTAGCGAATTTCCCTATAGGGAAGTAGCTATTACCGTAGGTGGCACGGTAAGACCTAGACCCGGGACCAATTTACTTTTTCATTTTGATGTCTCCAGAGGCCAAAAACACCATTCGTTCAAATTTTTATATATGTATATATATATATATATAGACATATATATATATATATACGTCCGTGAACGCGATAACTTGAGTAATTTTTGTCCGATTTTGATGAAATTTGGTTTAAAGGTGTAAAGCGGGATAAACTTGAATGAGTTCGCGAACCAGCACGATTGGACCATGGGAACGGGGCTTTACGGGGGGTTTTATGGGGTAAAAATTGGTTTTTCTCACTTTTTACCCTTAAAACAAAAAATTTCCCGATTTATCTTTAGACCTTTTTAAAGAGCTTAAAAAAACAAATAATTTGGTATATAAAAGTATTTTTGTTCAATTATTAGTAACGGAGAAAATTTAAAAAAATGTAAATTTAAAATTTTCCATGTTATTCTTATGGAGAGTATTGTCAAATGTTGTAGTTTGCTTGTTTATCGATATATTTTGATCAAACTTGGCAAATTTATTTATTTTGTACTAAGCTATCAATATTTTACTCAAAAACACACTTTTATTAGTTTCCTTGTAGCAGCAAACCTAGGTACTCGTTAAACCTAATGTTATTAAAATATATTTAACTGAAAATCAATTTAGACAAATGGAAATTCGCTTAGTCGGCAGGTTTGCTGCGGCGGGGGTATTTAAAAAATATTGGACTTTCTATCACTATTTACTTTATAAAAATAAAACCAATTACTCTAGCGATTTATATAAAAAATAATTCGAAAGGGCATTAAATTAGCTACAAAACCAAGGTTACATGAAAAAATATTTCATTACATACATCGGTTCCTAGCCGAATTAAAGTAAAAAATATCGTATAATAGTTATTTTGTTTAAGTTTTAAGACCCCTTTTTCTTACTTTATTCTGGTGCCACGCAATGTCCAACTAAATAAAAAACTTTCTCATTTAATAAGCTTTTAATTGATATGCAATTTTAAATTGTTGTTGGTAGAATTTACAGAAAAACTACCATCAAACTAAAAGTAAAACACGGTTTACCGATTTGGTTTTAGCAAGGTAACAAAACTAACTAATATTAAACTCACTGATTTACACATGTCTTGGTTCGAATCGTACTGGTTCAAATCAGCTGATTCAATTGTTATGATTTGTAAACAAGTCTAAAGTATATAACATTATTTGGTTTCCTAGTCAGATTAAAACGCTTGTTTGTTATTTTTCACGTTATGGATCCTTTCACAATTTCAAAATATGCTGATATGCATTATGTTTATGGTTTTTGTTCCGGAAATGCATCTGAAAGTGTTCGCGAGTACATTCGAGGCTTTCCAGACAGAAGGATTCCTGATCGAAAAACATTTATTCGCGTCCACCAGTAAGTTACCAGTGTTAGCGTGAAAATGGAAAGTTTCCCACCAACGGCCGCTTAGTTGGAAACTTTATGCAAGATGTCGGATTGGAAGGGATGTTGGGAGATTGGAAGAAGTCTTAGAACGGGTAAGCGAAGATCCAAGGATAAGTACGAGGACATTAGCCTGTGAGTTTTGGGGTATCTCAAACATTTGTGTCAAAACTACGAAAAGAGGGGTTGCACTTCATTTCACGCGTGTCCAGAAACTCGAGCCGAGAGATCCACCTCAGAGGCTCCAGTTTTGTCAGTGGATCCGGCAACATGACCGCAGGGATTTCCTGAAAACAATTTTATGGACTGATGAATGTTCGTTTACGAGAGATGGAGAGTCTTTAATTTCCATAATGAGCATCACTATGCTGACGATAATCCGCACCTCGTTCGTGAATCTAGGAGTCAGTAACAATTCAAGGTAAATGTGTGGGCTGGACTGATAGGAAATCGAGTGATTGGACCATATCTTGACCTTCCTCAACACTGAATGGAGTTGACTACTTACAGTTCCTAACTGAAATTCTACCAGAACTCCTGGAGGACATTCCATTGAATTTGCGTGATCGCATTGTGTACCAAGCTGATGGCGCACCCTCGCACTTCAATCTCAATGTACGTGACTATTTAACAGGGTGTCTAGTAGTCGGGAAAATCGGGAAAGTCGGGAATTAGTATTGAATTCCAAAGTGGTCTTGAAAAGTCGGGATTTAGTCTTAAATTTAATTTCAAAGTCGGGAATTTTCATGATTTTGCCGCGATCGTCGTCTTGCGTTTACGTAACCGCGAAAGCCAATGATGATGTCTACACAGCCTCGGGAAATGTTCACGATTTTGCCGCGATAGTGGACGACGACGATGACGTTTCCGAAACCGCGGGAGACGACGATGACGTTTCCGAAACCGCGGGAGACGACGATGACGTTTCCGAAACCGCGGGAGATGACGATGACGTTTTCTAAACCGCGGGAGACGACGATGACCTTTCCGTGACCGCTGGGGAAGACGATAACGTTACCGTGACCGCGGGAGACGACGATAACGTTTCCGTACCCACGAGAGACGACGATGACGTTTCTGTGACAGCGGGAGACGACGATGACGTTTCCGTGGCCGCGGGAGACGACGATGACGTTTCCGTGACCGCAGGAGATGACGACGACGTTTCCGTGGCCGCGGGAGATGACGTTGATGTTTACACGGGCGAGGGAAATGTTCTCACGATTTTGCCACGATCGCGGAGGACATGAAATATTTTTCATGTAACCTTGGTTTTGTAGCAAATTTAATGCCCTTTTGAATTATTTTTGATATAAATCGCTAGAGTAATTGGTTTTATTTTTATAAAGTAAATAGTGACAGAAAGTCCAATATTTTTAGAAAACACAAAATTCTCAATTACGACCAAACGGTTCGGAATCGGACTAGGGTTTACAACAACTTTTTTGTTCATTTTGATCAGTAGAATCCACTGGCGAAGTTATGGGCGTCAGTAGAAACTCACCCTGTATATATGTATATGTATATATATATATATATATATATATATATATATATATATATGTATATATATATATATGGGCAGAAGTTTTTTTTTCAACTTGTAATTCAGAGAAGCATTTTGTCCCTAGAAAGTTTTAAGTCCAATTGTACTACAGTAGTTATTTTATTGTCTTCTAAGATCCAATTTTGTTTGCATTTATTTTCAGTTACTGTAATTTTGGGAAACGAGATGTCAAAAAATGCTTCAAATAAATGTGTTATAAAATTCATGGTATTTTCTTTCAAACATTGTCCCAAATTTAAGTTTTCAATGTTTTTTTTTAATAAATGATCTCACTGAGTTGACAAAATGTGTAGTAACTACAACAAACTCAAGCTACACCAAGGCAAAGAGAAAAAAAAACTTATACAAAGACAACCAGATAGTTATTCTATGAACAGAAATCAAATAGTGTATAGAATATCAAATAGAGTCATAGACCTACTCACTTATGTTTTCTGTATTTTTCTTTAGAGCCAGACTTCTCCAGTTTGGATCTGTAAAAAAAACAAACGGTATCAGCAATCTGACAGTTACTTTCTCCCATTAGCTTGTCAAAAACCTTTATCATGGGTAAGTGATGAGAGTAACTATGATATTTAATAGGTAAAATCACTAAAGTTCCATTTACTTTAGAGCTATAATTTTTACAGGAATGGGGGGGTTGCACTATTTTTTTTAATTTACAGTATAAGGACCATAGTAGACAAATTTCATTCAAAATCGGTTTTTTTAATAATCTTTTCGGTTTTTTCATGGGTTTTTATGGGAAAATAGCATAACTTACAACCAAGCAGCAACATACATCTGTGTTACACAATGAGAACTGTCAAAGTAGGATTGTTACTAGTTTTTTTTTATTTAATAAATAATTTGTAGGCCTACTCTGTAAATATGCCGTTTTTTTAGGGTTTAATTTATTAACTTATTGACCTTTTTTCCATAATATTTATAAAAAAATTTTGTGTTTTCCCCAAAAATAATGCCTGAGAAACGGAGTTGCCTGTTAGTAGTACTTTTAGTGGATTACTGATCAAGTCAATAACTTGGACAGTAGGAAATCTACAAATAAAATTACAGTCTTGTCTGTACATTGCGTAGAATCCTGCCGTTTTAGGTTATTTTGACTTTTCATAGCCTAAGAAAGTCTAAACGAGTCATCTCAATTTTTGTCTGTCTGTCTGTCTCTTTGTCATTCTGTCTGTAACGCCAAATTGTCAATCTACTACGAGAAAACTAGAGTACCGATCAATATTCAAACCATTTTTCTGTATTCACTGGATTGGTAAGAGTGTCTTTGGATATTAAAATATGGCCTAACTACTTTGAAATAAAATAACAAACCAACAAAATCCCAATTTTGTGTGATTTTTGTCAAGTTTTCTCCCAATGTTTACCGTCATTTATTAACGAACAGCTGTTTGGATTAAGATTCTCACTTATAGCTGTCACTGATATGATTACATTAAATGTCGTTTACAAATACTGCAACATTTCCAATCGCATTTTGTAAGCAAATCAAAAACCATTCATTGAACCAAGTGAGATAGGTACCTTAAGCGACCTTTTGACTTACACAACGGGTTTAATTGATCTCATTACAATGTGTATGATTTAATACTCAGCATAAGAATTCCTACAGAGTCTTCGGGGCCTGATAAATATGTATAAACGAAGAATTTGGCGTAAAAAGGTTAAATAGATTTAAATTACTAAGTAGCCTACTCTGCGTTGTTCAAATTCTGTTTACAAGTTTGGGGAGTGTGGGAACTGTTTATGAGGATTAGATTAAGGTATCTGTAATCTTAAAATGCAATGGGAAGGGAGGGAAACAGGTCTCCGACATACGAAGTGGTAAAGGAAGTAGTTAAGGCGAGTGGCCTGAGTGTAGTAACTGTTTATGACGATTAGATTAAGGTATCTCCAATCCTAAAGTGCTATGGGAAGGGAGGAACAGGTCCGCGACGTAGGAAGTGGTGAAGGAAGTAGTAAAGGCGAGCCGGAGTGTGGGAACTGTTCATGACGATTAGATTAAGGTATCTGCAATCTTAAAATGCACTGGGAAGGGAGGGAAACAGGTCCGCAACATAGGAAGTGGTGAAGGAAGTAGTAAAAGTGAGTTGTCCGGAGTGTATGAACTGTTTACGACGATTAGATTAAGGTATCTGCAATCCTAAAATGCTATGGTAAGGGAGGGAAACTGGTCCGCGACTTAGGAAGTGGTGAAGTGGACAGACATCGTTCTGTCCTAATGTGGTTTTATGTCAAATGCTCGTTCATTTTCAAGATGAGCTCGTTCGCATGGCTCAATCGACAATCACGTCCTGGTTGAAGTTTGTTCGCTACGCTAACTCTCCTCTAGGTTGAAGTTCGTTCGCTACGCTCACTCACCTTTTGGTTGCAAATTAGCTGTTAGTCATAAATTTAGGGGTTGGTATCAGTGGCTTTGCTCTCATAGCGTGATTTTCTGCACATATCTTGCAATTTTCTACGAGTTCTTTGATTTGTTGAGAAAGACGAGGCCACCACACAGTCAATTTTGCAAAAGATCTACATTTTGTTATGCCTTGATGTCCTTCATGAATACTTCTTATTACATTAGCTCTTAGGGAATTTGGTATTATAATACGACTTCCAAAGAGAAGTATACCATTTTGCTCACTTATATCTTCTCTATGATACCAGTAGGGCAATACATCCTCTGGAATCTTAGATTTTTCTGGCCAACCTTTCACACAATACTGTGACACATGTTACAAAGTTTCATCTTTCATAGTTTCTTGATTTATTTCTTGCAACCTTTCATCCGGAACTGATGGTAAAGTAGTGTCAATATTTTGTATGTATGCAAGGATTTCCTCTGTAAGTTCCCATTCCTCTTCAGAGTTCTCTGTGTCTCGAGACAGTGCATTAGCCAAAATCAATTGTTTACCGGGCGTGTAGGTAATATCATATGTATATCTCATCAGTCGGAGTCGTATTCTCTGAAGCCTGGGAGTAATACTGTCCAAGTCTTTTATCTTGAATATGGAGAGCAAGGGCTTATGGTCTGTCTCAATATGCAATTGCAACCCTAAAATGAGGTGTTCAAATTGTTCACACCCCCTTGCAATCGCTAGAGCTTCTTTTTGTATTTGAGCCCAATTACGTTCGGCTGATGACAAACTTCTCGAAGCATATGCCACAGGACGTTTAGTTCCATCTTCTTGAAGCTGAAGTAGTGCAACTCCAATACCGTATGACGAGGAATCCGCTGAGAGGAAGGTTTCTTTAGACATGCTGTATAAAGCGAGACACGGTTCAGACATCAATGACAGTTTAATCTTTTCCAAAGCTTGGTCTTGATCAGGCCCCCAAACAAATTCTGTATTTCTTTGCAGTTAAGCATGTAGAGGATGAACTATGGTCGACAAATTATGAATAAACTTGGCTACGTAATTGACAACACCTAGAGTTCTTCTTAGTTCTTTAACATTAGTTGGCGTCTTGAGTTTTTGGATAGCCTCAACACGAGAGGGATCTGGCTTAATACCATTTTTAGTTACAAGGTGGCCTAGTAAACTGATACTGTCATGCCGGAACACACATTTTGATCTATTACATCTATTACACAAAACACTATGTAAAATTTTGTCATGTTCTTCCACATCTTTCCTGTTTATAGTTATGTCATCGAAATGGCAAACAACACCTTGAAGGCCTTCGAGTGATTCAGACATCTGACGCTGGAATACTTCTGAACCAGTGGAAATCTCGAAAGGAAGTTTTAAAAATCTGAACCTTCCAAAAGGTGTGATGAAAGTAGTAAAATATGAAGCTTCTTCTTTTATGGGTATTTGCCAATAACCCGAGTTAGCATCTAGTTTCAAGAACACATTAGCACCATCTAATTGTCCCAGAGTGTAGTCTACAGAGGGCACAGGATATAGTTCTCGTTTAACACTCTCATTAAGTTTAGTAAAATCTACGCAAAGTCTTATTGAATTGTCCTTTTTAGGGACAATGACAAGAGGTGAACACCAGTCAGTCGGAGTGTCTACTCTCACGATAACACCTTTATCCAACATTGCATCCAGTTATTTTTTTACAGCATCTTTATAGGGTAGGGGAACACGCCTTGGAACTTTGAGAGGGTACGGTTCAGCGTTTGGCTTTAATTTTATATTATAATGAGCTTGTGTATCACCAAGACCGCTGAAAAGTTTAAGGTATGATGTAAAGGGATCAAATGAGCCAGTTGAGTTGACTCGAAACATCCTTTTAACTAGACCCAATTTTTCACTAACTTCATTGCTCAAAAGGGTTCTATCAGCACCAGATATTACATAAAACTGAGACTTTCAATATTGATTCTTGTACTGGATTGTACCCTTAAATACGCCTAAGATATTAAGGGCAGATCCGTTAGGCCCAATTAAAACTTTGTTACTTGAATTTAGTGGGTACATAAATAATTTCAACTTATAAAGTAATTGGGGCAAGACACAAACGTCAGCTCCAGTGTCTATCTTAGCTTGAATATATACTCCATTTAGTTTAACTTCAGCAGACCATTTTGCTTTAGGATTCTTTTGAGGATTAATAGACCCCACAAATTTGTCACGATTACAACTTCATCTTGAAGAGGATTTGAATTTATTTCCTTGACATTTTTGAACTGGCAACATTTAGCAAAATGGCCCTTCCTGTTACAGTTTCGACAGAAAATATTCCGGGCAGGACATTTAGGTCGTTTGTGTTGAGCGTTACCACACCACTGGCATTGATTGTAGTAATTGGTACCAGACGCATTGGAATCAACTGGAAGAATTAAGTGTTAGATCTGCATTTATTTGTAGTTTTTCAGATAAACTTTTGTCTCTAATCGCCACAACAAGTTGATCTCGTATAGCCTCATCTTTATAAGAAGCAGGAAAATCGCATCTAGAAGCCATCTCATGAAGATCATGAATCAAACTCTTAACACGCTATTCCTCATGTTGAACCCTAGTATGAAACATGTACCTCTCAAAGATTACATTTTTAGAAGGAGCGAAATATGTATCAATTTTTTTATAAACAGTTTTGAAACTTTTACTTTCCTCAGATGTCAAATTAAATGATTCAAATATACTTTTGGCCTTTTCACCCATCATATATAGTAAGGTGTTTACCTGATATAGTTCGTCTTCATTGGTGAGCCCAGATATAGCATGAAAGCGCAAGAAACGGGTTTTCCATTTAGACTAGTTTTCTCCTTTAAAATCAAAATGTTCTGATGAAGGAACACTAAAACCTTTCATCTTTATGTACTGTATTGCTAAAACAATAAAAAACCCGCTGCCACCATGTAGTGTTATCGTAAGTTAAATTAAAATATAGTTTTAATAAGACAAATATTTTATTAGGTAGCTTTTTCAATAAATCAAGATTCAGAATGTTTACCAACAAAAACTAAACAAATAATATTCTAACACCATATGTTTTCAAACACATATGAATAAAAACACAAAGTCCTCGAGAAGTTGATCCGTTCCCGACTGAATTCAGCCGTGGTTGCTGAGGGGGACCTGTCCCCTCGCCAGTATGGATTCAGGATGGGGCGATCTACGGTTGACGCTGTTGAGGAGGTGAAGAAAGCCGTGATGAGAGCTGAGGATTTTAACCACTACTCTCGTAGGGTTGTGCTGCTCGTAACACTCGATGTGCGAAACGCATTTAATTCTGCGAGTTGGTGCAATATGCTAGATGCTCTGGAGAACACCTCCCACTTTCCGGCATTCCTCATGCGTTTCATAGAGGATTATCTCCGGTTCCGCCTCCTCATGTATGACACTACAGAGGGCCCACGGAAATGCCTGAGGAATCTGTTTTGGTTGGGTACACAGACGACGTTGCAGTTTTGATAGCTGCACGTTGCGTTGAGCTGGCTCAGCTAAAGCTGAACAGAGTTATGCGTACAATAAACGCATGGATGGCAGACCACGGTCTCACACTTGCTTTGAGCGAAACTGAGATCGTGATATTAACAAAAAAACGGATTGACACCATCTCCACCACACACCATCGGCTCACATTGACACCATCGGGTTGAGGGTAGGGGCCGTCGAAGTCCAGACCGTTCTTTCTGCCAAGTACCTTGGGGTTATGGTGGTCAGCAAGCTTAGCTGGCGGGATCAGATTTTCCGTACGGCGGACAAGACCGCTAGGGTCGTCTCCTCTCTTAGCCGGTTGATGGCCAATGTCGGAGGGCCTCGGTCCAGCTGTAGAAGGCTGTTAATGTCTTCTGTCCAGTCCGTACTCTTGTACGGTGCTGAGGTGTGGGCAGACGCTCTCAATAAGGAGGTATATAGGATGCGGCTCGCCCGATTGTTTGTGCAGCGTCAGGCAGCACTAAGAGCTGCATTCGCCTACTGAACAGTGTCCGAACCAGCCGTCCTGGTGGTTGCTGGTGTCATCCCCTTCAAACTTTTGGCGGCGGAGAGAAAGGGTGTTTAAATAAATGCATTCTAAAATTCATCATATTATATTTCAACAGATGACATATTTTAAAAAATTACACTGTGTTGCTGAAACGTGTAGGCCTAGTAGCTACAACAAACTCAAGCTACATAAAGGGAAAAAAGCAAAAAAAAAATGTGTTACACAAAGACGGCCAGATAGTTATTTTTTGTATTATATTATATGAACAGAAATCAAATCTATATATATAAAATCCAATGTAATCTTTCAGGCATTATTAAGCATTATTCAAGGATGGTTTGTGTGAAGTTTGGTGCAGATCCGACAAAAGGGCTCCGCCTCCGTGGCTCTGGAGTTTTCCATGTTAACCTTATGAGTGCTCATATTTAAATGGAATTAAAGAATCTTTACAGCTGGTTCAACTAAACAATTTGATTCTGTGATGTACAATATCATTAAAATTAATAGGTTTACCAACAGGGGAAGCACTATTATTTTTTTAAATTTATGACAACAGCTAATTTGCAACCAAAAGGTGAGTGAGCGTAGCGAACAAACTTCAACCAGGACGTGATTGAGCCATGCGAACGAGCTCATCTTGAAAATGAACGAGCATTTGACATAAAACCAAATTAGGACAGGACGAAGTCTGTCTGGGGTAAGTAATCCACATTACTTAATAAATAGCTTATTCCCTATATGGTAAATTCGCTAAAAAGCATCAACAAAAAAATTTAATGTCCAGTTTGGCTGCTAGAGTAGCCGTTGGGCCAAGGTGGGCATTATTTGACTTAATAGGATAAATACAGTAATACTGACTACAGGATAAAAACAGGTCCACGACGTAGGAAGTGGCGTAGGAAGTAGTAACGTTTAGCATCGCAGAGTGTGGGAACCGTTTGTAGCAGTTAGATTAATGTATCTGTAATACCTAAATGCTATGAGAAGGGAAGAAAACAGGTCCATGACGTAGGAAATAGTGTAGGAAGTAGTAAAGGCTGGCATCGTAGAGTGGGGGAATCATTTCCCCCGAGCAAAGCTCGGTCCCAAAGTACTTGTTAAAATAATCACAGTAAGTCTATTTCTTTCAATGGACTTTTTTTTATTTGATCAAGATGGATTACTGAAGGTGTTGGATTGGTGCATAAAATAATCAACAAGTGATGTGAACTTTTCATCTCTATACATGGTAATGTATGTGCACCTAGAGGGTAAAGAAAACAGTTCAGGCCTGTACAGTAAAATAAGAGTTAGTGAGAAAGTTTACAATGAAATAGGCATTACAAACTTAACATCTGATGAATGGGATAGCTTATTAAAAATATTTACATATAACTAACGAGCATAACTGGCTGAAGACTGCATTTGTGACTTATATATATGTAACCCAGATAATGGATCCAGATTTTTAATATCAGCAATTTGTTGGAGAGGATGGTCATACTGAGATTGGTGTCCGAGCAATTTTAAGTCATTGGAGCCAGCGTGCACTAGCCCGAAACATGACCCTGACCATAACTCCCACTTGGTCGGTTACGGCCAATTTTACAATAGGCGTTAATGGAACAGTGCGGGCCCTCGTCGTTCAAGCAAACTCAGAGGACTTTGGAAAGACCCGACTCATCAGCTGTTGCGGCCAAAAATATTGAACACATTGTAATGGCGTGACACTGCCTCCATCTTTTCTCCAACCCAACCAGTAGCGCCGTAGGTGGTCATAGATCAAGCGAACAGTTAGCACTACCTTTGGTGTGGTGTGCAAAATAACTTCTTTTATGATGTCGCAGTTATATTTTGACACAGAGGGTTTTATTATGGCTTCTAAAGAAATGCCTTCTATCGTCAGAAGATTGTGCCAAATGAGGGACGAAGAGGGCAGCTTGGGAGGACAATAATTATCATCAGATGCACCCAGTATAGTTTTCCTACCACACTACAGCAACAACATCTTCAACATCCATCTTGACACTGAAGCTTGGTTGGTATACATTCCTTGTTGTGGTCTGGTCATGGTCGGGTCGTGCTCTGGCCACATGGTGAACAACAGCAACCGGTCGGGTTGTCTTGGCCCTTATCTCCTTGCAGGATGAAATTCCGTCTCTAACTTATAAGGAAATTTCCTTTAACAGTCTATATTTATTCTATTTGTCTATGTATTTGTCTATGATAAAAGTGACAAAACATTGAAATAAAATAGCGTTCCGAGAGGCTAGCATACCAACACAAGTCAAAGTCACGTCATTATCAGCTTGCAGTGGGATGCTAGCGTCACGGATCGTAGCTTAGGATTTTGATTTTCAATCTTGCTCTCACATTGGTTGTCTCTGACATACTGACCAACATTAGTACAATATTATTGTTGATCATATAAACAATAGTTCTAGAATGACATAAGCTAAAATTTTCTTCTTCCAAAATAATTTTTTTATTTTATGTTCCCTTTCTTTTCCCAACTTCAGGATTTATAATCTGCCATTAACTTTATATATATATATACATATATTGGAAGAAGTTTTTTTTCAACTTGTAATTCAGAGAAGCATTTTATCCCTAGAAAGTTTTAAGTCCAATTGTACTACAGTAGTTCTTTTTTTGTCTTCTAAGATCCAATTTTGTTTGCATTTATTTTCAGTTACTGTAATTTTGGGAAACGAGATGTCAAAAAATGCTTCAATAAATGTGTTATAAAATTCATGGTATTTTCTTTCAAAAGGAGCCATATAAACATTCTCCCAAATTTAAGTTGTCAATGGTTTTTTAATAGATGATCTCACTGAGTTGACAAAATGTGTAGTAACTACAACGAACTCAAGCTACACCAAGGCAAAGAGAAAAAAAAAACTTATACAAAGACGACCAGATAGTTATTCTATGAACAGAAATCAAATAGTGTATAGAATATCAAATAGAGTCATAGACCAACTCACTTATGTTTTCTGTATTTTTCTTTAGAACCAGACTTTTCATCCATTTTGGATCTGTAAAATACAAAAATAAACGGTATCAGCAATCTGACAGTTACTTTCTTCCATTAGCTTGTCAACAACCTTTATCCTGGGTAAGTGATGAGAGTACCTATGATATTTAATATGTAGAATCACTAAAGTTCCATTTACTTTTGAACCATAATTTTTACAGGAATGGGGGGGGGGTTGCACTATTTTTTTAGAATTACAGTATAAGGACCATAATAGACAAATTTCATTAAAAACCGGTTTTTTTAAATAATTCTTTTCTGTTTCTTTCATGGTTTTTTATGGGAAAATAGCATAACTTACAACCAAGCAGCAACATAAATCTGTGTTACAGGATGAGAACTGTCAAAGTCGGATTGTTACTAGTTTTATTTTTTAATAAATAATTTGTAGGCCTACTGTGTAAATATGCCGTTTTTAAGGGTTTAATTCATTAACTAATTGACCTTCTTTTTTCATAACATTTATAAAAAATGTTGTGTTTTTCCCAAAAATAATGCCTGAGAAGTGGAGTTGCCTGTTAGTAGTACTTGTAGTAGATTACTGATCAAGTCAATAACTTGGACATATGGAAATCTATAAATAAAATTACAGGTTTGTCTGTACATTGCGTAGAATCCTGCAGTTTTAGGTTATTTTTACTTTGCATAGCCTAAGAAAGTCTAAACGAGTCATCTCAATTTTTGTCTGTCTGTCTGTCTCTTTGTCATTCTGTCTGTAACGCCAAATTGTCAATCTACTACGAGAAAACTAGAGTACCGATCAATATTGAAGTAAAAGTAACAAAACTTTGAAGTGAAATAACAAACCATTAAAAACCCAATTTTGTGCAATTTTTTTCAAGTTTTCTCCCAATGTTTACTGTAATTTATTAAAAAACAGCTGTTTGGATTAAGATTATCACTTATAGTTGTCACTGATATGATTACATTAAATGTCGTTTACAAATACTGCAACATTTCCAATCACATTTTGTAAGCAAGTCGAAAACCATTCATTTAACCAAGTGAGATACCTTAAGCAGCGACCTTTTGACTTACACAACGGGTCTAATTGATTGCAATTACAATGTGTAGTATGATTTAATACTCAGGATAAAAATCCCTACAGAGTCTTCGGGGCCTGACAAATATGTATAAACGAAGAATTTAGCGTGATAAGGTTAAATAAATTCAAATTACTAAGTAGCCTCCTCTGCGTTGTTCAAATTCTGTTTACAAGTTTGGGGAGTGTGGGAACTGTTTATGAGGATTAGATTAAGGTATCTGTGATCTTAAAATGCAATGGGAAGGGAGGGGAACAGGTCTCCGACGTAGGAAGTGGTAAAGGAAGTGGTAAAGGCGAGTGGCCTGAGTGTAGTAACTGTTTATGACGATTAGATTTAGGTATCTCCAATCCTAAAATGCTATGGGAAGGGAGGAAAACAGGTCCGCGACGTAGGAATTGGTGAAGGAAGTAGTAAAGGCGAGCCGGAGTATGGGAACTGCTCATGACGATTAGATTAAGGTATCTGCAATCTTAAAATGCACTGGGAAGGGAGGGAAACAGGTCTGCGATGTAGGAAGTGGTGAAGGAAGTAGTAAAAGTGAGTAGTCCGGAGTGTGGGAACTGCATACGACGATTAGATTAAGGTATCTGCAATCCTAAAATGCTATGGGAAGGTAGGGAAACTGGTCCGCCACTTAGGAAGTGGTGAAGGAAGTAGTAAAGGTGAGCTGTCCGGAGTGTAGGAACTGTTTATGACGATTAGATAAGGTATCTGCTATCATAAAATGCTAAGGTGTTGTAACTTCTTTAACCCATTGGCGCCGACTTACGAGCGTTACTCGTACGGCCGCTGCAGGCCTAGAGGCTGACTTAAGAGTGCCACTCGTTCGCTAGTTTCTAGCGCTGCCTGTCATCGTAGTTCCACAAAAATCCGATAGATAGGAGTCAAATGCACTTCTGTAGATATCTGTGAATACCGCTGACTGTTTGTCCCAATAAAAGGAATTTCATTCCTGTTAGAAAGACGCACATTTTTCGCTGTTGTGAACGGTGGTCGTTGCTAAATCGTAACAAAGTAAAATCATTTTGTATAGTACTTTAAGGATTTGAATGCTAAACTATAATAAACTATATTGTTTTTACTTGTTGGCAACACTGTTTACCACTGAAATAAATGTCAGCTGTCAGCATAGTTTCCATTTCATGAAGTAACATAGCGTGGATGATCTTCAGTGTTATTGTTTGTTGTGATCGTGTAACTAAATGTCACTTAGTAGTGTTTTACTAAACGTTTTATGATTGATAGCCATATCGTCGATAAATTGAGAAGTGTTTTGTGATGGAAAACCTCCGTAGTTCTGAGGTGGATAGACTACTACTTGAAAGTGGGAGTGAGGATGAGTATGACGACGAATTAGAAGTAGTAGGCCTACATGACCAACACCAAAATCAGTGGAATGACAATTTGGTTTTAGCCGGTCTTAGTTCCGAAGAATTAGACCGCCTACGTGAAGTTGATGTGCTCGATTTTGATGCTACAAACTTTGAAAGTATTTCAATCGAAAGTGAAAATAGTGCGAGAAATGGGAATACTCTACTACACGCAAATACCGATACAAGCGATCAAGATATCGACGAAGTTGAAGAGAACCCTTTTGAGAATTATGTCCCAGATTATGAAGCAGTAAGTTGTAATGAAATCACAAATGATATCGAAATTGGTCAGGGTGATCATGCTTTACATCATTGTTTAGTAGATGAAGTTACTACTGAAAATAGTAAAAACAAACATAATGAAATTGTACCTATACAACCTATTGAAAAAAAGCAGGGCGGACTCTCAAGTGGTTTTAGCTCAACTAATGTTACTTTTTACTGATCCTAGTACTTCTCAAAAAGAAAAACGTGCATATCTAACAAAAAACGGAATAGGCCTACCAGTAATAAAAATGTTTCAAAAAAACAAAAAACAAACAGTGGGCAAAATACAATTGCCAGTTCCAGGCAAACCAAAAGCAAACCAAACAAGAAAAACAACAAGACTAAAAAATTCATTGATAGTGATTGGCCTTGGTTGGATGAAGATAACAAGCCTAAAGACATACCCTTTACCGCATTTCCAGGCATCAACGAACCATATTTACGGCGCCTAGGCGATAATCCTACAGAGTTGCATACACTCATGCAGATACTTGGGGAAGAGTTTTGGCAGATGATGTGTGTCGAAACAAATGATTATGCGGAGAAGCAAATCAGCAATGAGAGGAGAACAAAGCTGAAAAGTGACGTCAAATGGCATAAAGTAACTCCAGATGAACTAAAAGCATATTTCGCTTTGTACATAAATATGGGCCAAATAAAAAAACTCAGTCTAAACATGTATTGGTCACATAGAAAAATTTTAGAGACTGCTATTTTCAGCCAAACAATGACCTTCGAGAGGTTTACCGCCATCTCCAGATTTATCCATTTTTATGACGAGGAGGTTGAACAAGATAATGACGACAAGTTTGAAGAAAATCAGACCGGTTATTCGTTATTTGGAGACTAAATTTCTTCAAATGTATGAGCCTGAAAAAGACCTTGCACTTGATGAGACTCTGCTCAAAATGCGGGCACGACTTGGAATCATTCAATTCAACCCAAAGAAAAGGGCACGTTTTGGTGTTAAAATTTACAAGGTTTGCGAGTCGTCCTCAGTATATTGTAGTAGGTTCAAAATTTATGTAGGGGCAGATAAGGTTGATGAGCTCTTAGCAAGTGAATCCGTGGTCCTAGATCTCTTGGAGCCCTTCTTTCACAAAGGTTATATTGTTTACCTGGACAATTGGTATACATCTCCTTTATTGTACACTAAACTTCTTGACAATGAGACTTATGCAGTTGGAACAGCATTGCCAGCAAGAAAATGTATGCCACGGGTATTTTGCTACTAACCTGGAATTAGGAGAGGCTATCAGACGTTCTGGGAGAGGAGTTTTGGCAGTGAAATGGAAGGACAGAAAAGATGTTCACATGCTCTCCACACTACATGAAAGAATAGACAAACAGATTTCTAAAGTAGTTAGACTGGGAAATTCTGATGTAGATGTGATAAAACCAAAGTGCGTGATCGACTATAATCATGGTATGCTTGGAGTCGACAGGCAAGACCAAGTCCTCTCTTCGTTCCCCATCATGCGTAGGTCAATAAAGGCATACAAGAAGATTTTTTCCTACTTGATAGATATGGCAATTTTTAATGCCTTTTGCCTTCACAGGAAAATAACCAAAAAGCAAATGCATTTCACCGAGTTTCGCCTCAATGTTGTTGAGCAATTGCTTCAAGCGGTATCATTACCTGACCGCACCTCGCCAGGACGTGCCCCTCTCACGGACAACCCCCTTAGATTGCAAGCGAAGAACTGGGGACATTTTCTAATCCCAATTCCACCAACAGCATAACCAACAACCTGCATACACTCAAATGATGACGATTATTCAAGTGGCGACTCTTCTGATTACGGAGTGCACAAAATTGATTCGATCTACCAGAACTTTGATGTCGTAGATTTATTTGAAGTTGGATATGATTCAGACAAGTACATTGTTTCTGTCAGTATAAATGGAAGATCACAATGTTTTGAAGTTGACAGTGGGGAAAAATTTTCTCTCCTTGCGAAGAATGACTTTGAACGTCTACAGCTGAACGTACCAGTAGAACCATCAAGGCTAGCCTTCCGTTCATACTCTGGATACATAATCAAGCCAGAGAGAAAGGTATCAGTTTCTGTCTCATACAAGGGTAAACAGTTCAAAGGTGACCTTCACATTGTCCCTTCAGGTCATGACACGCTTCTAGGGCGACAATGGATCCGAGGACTGGGTATTGATTGAGCTGTGTGAAATTGACACTGAAATGAACCGACCAGCTACTACCCTTCAATTACAACCAGTAAATTCAGTTGAGGAACTGTTTGAAAAATTTGCGCCAATTTTTAGCCAAAAATTGGATGCGTTCCATACTTTACAGTATCATTACATCTTCGATCAGGAGCAAAGCCTATTTTCAATCGTGAACGGAACGTACCTCATGCTCTTATTGATCAGATCAACAAGGAACTGGATTTACTTGAAAATGAAGGAATCATTTCGCCTGTTACGTCAAGTGATTGGGGGCCCCACTAGTCGTGATTCCTAAGGCAGATGGAAGTGTTCGTCTTTGTGTCGACTACAAATGTGGTGTGAATGAACGAATAGTCCAGGCAAACCATCCTATTCGAAAAATTGACGATGTACTTCATAGTTTGAGAGGATCTCGTTATTTTTGTAAACTTGATCTGTACAAAGCTTATCTGCACCTCAAGGTTGACGAAGAGTCCAGTATTATCCAGACAATGTCAACACACCGTGGAACATATCGTGTCAATCGTCTAAGCTTCGGAATAAAGACAGCACCTTCTGAGTTCAACCGAATTCTTACACAAATTTTGAAGGGATTGCCTAAAACCGAGGCCTACTTTGATGACATAATTTGCCATGGTTCAACAATGGATGAGAGCAAAAGAAATCTACAGGCCTGTCTTCAACGGCTCTCAGATTTTGACTTACACATAAACAAACAGAAGTGTTCCTATTTTCAAGAACAAATAGAATATCTAAATCTCCTACCAAAGTTCAAGCTGTTAAAGAAATGTAACGTCCATCAAAAGTTGAATAATTACGACGATTCTTAGGAATGGCTTCTTACTACTCTCGTTTCTTTCCAGATGCTTTAACTGTCACTTTTCCTTTACGACGTTTGCTACGCAAAAATAAGATATGGGAATGGACACCAAAATGTGAAAAGGCTTTTCAACTAGACAACTAATCAAAACTGAGCTCTGCAGTAACAGGATACTATTACCTTTCGATCCAAAACTACCATTAGTCCTCACCACAGACGCTTCACCTACTGGACTAGCTGCAGTTCTTAGCCACTTAATAGATGGAACTGAGAGACCAATTGCTTACGCCTCACGTTCACTCACTGATGCCGAATGTAACTATAGTCAACTAGACCAGGAAGCATTGGCCATAGTTTTTGGTGTCTCCCACTTCTATTATTACTTATTTGGGACTCAATTTCAACTTGTAACAGATAATCAGCCCATATCTAGGATCTTCAGGCATGACAAGGCTCTACCACAAATGACTTCAGCTCGTTTACTCAGATATGCATCATATCTGTCAGGTTTCAATTACAAGTTGTGTTCAAAAAGGGCATGGAAAATAAAAACGTGGATTGTCTTTCAAGAGCTCCTCTTACACAGACTCACTTTACTAAAGACAAGAAAATTGGAAAAGAGGTACATCAAATCTGCAGCCAAGCCATTTTTCAAATTTCAAGCCATGAAATCACAGCTGAAAGTATCAAGAATGAGACAGCCAAAGATCCAGTGCTCTCTAAGATTTTGAAAGACCTACTCACCAATTCACTTGATTCTGACTTTACTTTGGTCGAAAACATTATTTTCCGGGGAGAAAGAGTGTACATTCCATCACTACTTAGAAACAAAATTCTAAATGAACTTCACGAGAACTTCATGAAGTCATCTTGGAATCACAAAAATGAAACAGCTAGCACGAGCACGGCGCTATGTTTACTGGCCAAATATTGACAAGGACATTGAGCATCTTGTGAAAGGATGTGAAAATTGTGCACTAACACGGTCAAATCCGCCCAAAGCTCCTAATCACCCGTGGGAAATCCCAAAAGAGAACTGGGAAAGAATACACATTGACTACGCAGGACCGTTTCAAGGCTTCAACTTCCTCGTGTGTATTGATGCTAGATCAAAATGGGCGGAGATAAAAGTAATCAAAGATGCACCATCCAGCTCCAATACCATACATCTACTTGAACAGATTTTTGCTACACACGGCTACCCGAATGTCATGGTATCTGACAACGCCTCAATTTTTCAAAGTGATACATTCCAAGTTTATTGCAAATTACATGGCATTTTCCAGAAATTCATATCTCCAGGACACCCAGCAACAAACGGCTTAGCAGAACGCTCTGTTCAAACATTGAAGAACCGCCTGAAGTCCACAGCTTCGGAAAACATACCAATGGCAATAAAGGTCCAGAAGATCTTAATGCGGTATCGGGCAACTCCTCTAGCATGTGGCAAATCACCGGCTGAACTTTATCTCCACAGGAAGTTGAGAATACAAATGGATGCCATTTTTCCTCACGTACAAAAAGCTTCAACTAGAAACACTCCTTCTGCACGTTCATTCAATGAGGGGGAGAGAGTTCAGGTTCGTCTCTTCATAAACAACAAGAATGTTTGGGAGTTTGGAGGGGTAAATAAAAAGTTGGGAACTCGACACTATCTAGTTTCCCTTGACAAGTCAGGCCGCCTTGTAAAACGACACATTGATCAATTGCGGTCTACTTTGATACCAAAACCAAAAATTGTAAGTGTGGGACCAATCCACATATTTGATGTTCCACGGGCTTCTAAACACAGCACTAAAGAAAATACTAAGGCTGTTACTCGTTCTAATCCTGTTAAGTCCTAATCATATGAAATAGAATTTGTGTTGAGTTAACATGCATGCCTTTATTAATTATTTGATAATTAATTATAGTCACTTTATAAGGGATGGGAGGAAAACAGGTCAGCGAAGTAGGAAGTGGTGAAGGAAGTAGTAAAGGCGAGCAGTCTAGAATGTGGGGACTGTTTATGACGATTAGATTAAGGTGTCTGCAATCTTAAAATGCTATGGTAAGGGAGGAAAACCGGTCCACGACTGAGGAAGTGGTGATGGAAATAGTCAATGCAAGCTGTCCGGGGTGTGGGAACTGTTAATGACGATTAGATTAAGGTATCTACAATCCTAAAATGCTATGGGAAAGGAGAGAAACAGGTCCGTGATGTAAGAAGTGGAGAAGGAAGTAGTAAAGGCGAGCAGTCTGGAGTCTGGGAACTGTTTATGAGGATTAGATTAGGTATCTGCAATCTAAAAATGCAATGGGAAGGGGTGGAAACAGGTCCGCGACGTAGGAAGAGGTGGAGGAAGTAGTAAAGGCGAGCAGTGTGGAGTGAGGGAACTGGAAACCGTTTGTAACAGTTAGATTTATGTATCTGCAATACCGAAATGCTATGAGAAGGGATGAAAACATGTCCACGACATAGGAAATGGTAAAAGCTAGCAGTGCGGAGTGTGGGAAATATTTGGGGCAATTAGATTAATGTATTTAAAATACTAAAATGCTATGGGAAGAGATGAAAACAAGTCCATGACGTACAAAGCAGTAAAGTTTACTATCACAGAGTGTGGGAACCGTTTGTGGCAGTTAGATTAATGTATCTGTAATACTTAAATGCTATGAGAAGGGAAGGAAACAGGTCCATGACGTAGGAAATGGTGAAGGAAGTAATAAAGGCTGGCATCGCAGAGTGGGGGAACCGTTTGTGGCAGTTAGATTAATGTATCTGTAATACTTAAATGCTATGAGAAGGGAAGGAAACAGGTCAATGACGTAAGAAATGGCGAAGGAAGTAGTAAGGCTAGCAGTGCAGAGTGTGGGAACTGTCTGTGGCAATTACATTAATGTATCTACATTCTGCAATCCTGAAATGCTATGGGAAGGGAAGAGAGGGAAACAGGTCCACTACGTAGGGAGTGGTGAAGGAAGTAGTAGGGGCGAGCATTGTGGAGTTTGGGAATGGATTAATGTATCTGCAATACTAAGACTGCTTTCAGAGTAAACTAATGATTTTCCCCGAGCAAAGCTCGGTCCCCTGATACTGATATTTAATAGGTAAAATCACTAAAGTTACATTTACTTTTGAACCGTAATTTTTACAGGAATGGAGAGGTTGCACTATTTTATTTATTTTATTGAACTATGAATACACTAAACTCAATGAATACATTGCAAAATTGATATAAACCTACATGTTATTATATTTTTAAAATTATATTTTTGGTACTATATTAAAATTGTAGATATTTATTTATGAGTTACCTAATAACTTTTCATACAGCAGATCTATAAAACAAAATTATTCTCTTCCCATTGTGAAGCACAGGTATGGTGGCAAATTTGTGCTAAAACGTATATCTATATCTTATCTATATATAAAGCAAACAAGGATTTATGCTTTTGAGAAAACCATAAGCCTCACACCTATCAACTACATACTTGAATGAAAGGTCTTGATGTGAAACTAAACCGAAAGATCAGTTTTTCGATGAATCCTCTCCTAAGGGCACAAACCTGGTTGGGAACTGACTGTGTTTTAGGCACTTTCACATGTTCCGAGCCAGTATGTCCCAGAATCACTGCCTTCCTACTCTCTCACTATTAGGGCAAAAAGTTAGGGCACAATTTTGCAGCAGAGCAGGGTTTTTGTTCGTTCAAAGTTTTAAGACACATTGTAGTAGTTATTATTTTTTTTCAGGCCTCTAAGGTCCAATTCTGTTTGTGTTTCTTTTCAGTTACTGTAATTATGGGAAACGAGATGTTGAAAAAGTATTTAAATAAATGCATTATAAAATTCATCATATTTTATTTCAACAGATGACATATTTTAAATGATGACACAGTGTTGACGAAACGTGTCGGCCTAGTAACTACATAAAGTAAAAAAAAGCAAAAAAAAAGTTACACAAAAACTGCCAGATAGTTATTATATGAACAGAAACCAAATACCTAATACCTAAGTCATAGACCTACTCACTTATGTTTTCTGTATTTTTCTTTAGAACCAGACTTCTCCAATTTAGATCTGTAAAAATAAAAATAAATCCACATTACTTAATAAATAGCTTATTCCCTATATACGAAATTCGATAAAAAGCATTAACAAAAAAATTAAATGCCCAGTTTGGCTGCTAGAGTAGCCGTTGGGCCAAGGTGGGCATTATTTGACTTAATATGATAAATACAGTAATACTGACTACAGGATAAAAACAGGTCCAGGACGTAGGAAGTGGCGTAGGAAGTAGTAACGTTTAGCATCGTAGAGTGAGGGAACGATTTGTGGCAGTAAGATTAATATATCTGTAATACTTAAATGCTATGAGAAGGGAAGGAAACAGGTCCATGATGTAGGAAATGGTGAAGGAAGTAGTAAAGGCTGGCATCGTAGAGTGGGGGGAATCATTTCCCCCGAGCAAAGCTCGGTCCCCAGGCACTGATCACAGTAAGTCTATTTCTTCCAATGGACATTTTTTTAATTTGATCAAGATGGATTACTGAAGGTGTTGGATTGGTGCATAAAATAATCAACAAGTGATGTGAACTTTTCATCTCTATACATGGTAATGTATGTGCACCTAGAGGGTAAAGAATTGAAAAAATTATGTAATGAAACAAAATCCACCCACACCACTAGTTGGTAACTAAACAGTTAAATGGTACTCACTCATGTGTTGGGAATTGCTTATCTTCCCTAGACCCATGTTTCTTCTCTAACAGTTCAGGCCTGTACAGTAAAATAAGAGTTAGTGAGAAAGTTTACAATGAAATAGGCATTACAAACTTAACATCTGATGAATGGGATAGCTTATTAAAAATATTTACATATAACTAACGAGCATAACTGGCTGAAGACTGCATTTGTGACTTATATATATGTAACCCAGATAATGGATCCAGATTTTTAATATCAGCAATTTGTTGGAGAGGATGGTCATACTGAGATTGGTGTCCGAGCAATTTTAAGTCATTGGAGCCAGCGTGCACTAGCCCGAAACATGACCCTGACCATAACTCCCACTTGGTCGGTTACGGCCAATTTTACAATAGGCGTTAATGGAACAGTGCGGGCCCTCGTCGTTCAAGCAAACTCAGAGGACTTTGGAAAGACCCGACTCATCAGCTGTTGCGGCCAAAAATATTGAACACATTGTAATGGCGTGACACTGCCTCCATCTTTTCTCCAACCCAACCAGTAGCGCCGTAGGTGGTCATAGATCAAGCGAACAGTTAGCACTACCTTTGGTGTGGTGTGCAAAATAACTTCTTTTATGATGTCGCAGTTATATTTTGACACAGAGGGTTTTATTATGGCTTCTAAAGAAATGCCTTCTATCGTCAGAAGATTGTGCCAAATGAGGGACGAAGAGGGCAGCTTGGGAGGACAATAATTATCATCAGATGCACCCAGTATAGTTTTCCTACCACACTACAGCAACATCTTCAACATCCATCTTGACACTGAAGCTTGGTTGGTATACATTCCTTGTTGTGGTCTGGTCATGGTCGGGTCGTGCTCTGGCCACATGGTGAACAACAGCAACCGGTCGGGTTGTCTTGGCCCTTATCTCCTTGCAGGATGAAATTCCGTCTCTAACTTATAAGGAAATTTCCTTTAACAGTCTATATTTATTCTATTTGTCTATGTATTTGTCTATGATAAAAGTGACAAAACATTGAAATAAAATAGCGTTCCGAGAGGCTAGCATACCAACACAAGTCAAAGTCACGTCATTATCAGCTTGCATAAATGTGTTATTACAATTTGTCGTACAATTACTTGTAGGAAATTCATGCTATTTTCTTTCAAACATTCTCCCAAATTTAAGTTTTCAATGGTTTTTTTTATAAATGATCTCACTTGTTGACAAAATGTCTAGTAACTACAATGAACTCGAGCTACACCAAGGCAAAGAGAAAAAAAAACTTACACAAAGACGACCAGATAGTTATTCTATGAATAGAAATCAAATAGTGTATAGAATATCAAATGGAGTCATAGACCTACTCACTTATGTTTTCTGTATTTTTCTTTAGAACCAGACTCCTCCAGTTTGGATCTGTAAAAAAATAAACGGTATCAGCAATCTGGCAGTTACTTTCTCCCATTAGCTTGTCAACAACCTTTATCAGGGTAAGTGATGAGAGTAACTATGATAGGTAGAATCACTAAAGTTCCATTTACTTTTGAACCATAATTTTTACAGGAATGGGGGGTTGCACTATTTTTTTTAGAATTACAGTATAAGGACCATAATAGACAAATTTCATTCAAAACAGGTTTTTAAAATAATTTTTTCTGTTTCTTTCATGGGTTTTTATGGGAAAATAGCATAACTTACAACCAAGCAGCAACACAAAATCTGTGTTACACAATGAGAACTGTCAAAGTAGGATTGTTACCACTTTTTTTTTTTTTTTATTTAATAAATAGTTTGTAGGCCTACTGTGTAAATATGCCATTTTTATTTTTTAAGGGTTTAATTCATTAACTTATTGACCTCCTTTTAGCGAATTTCCCATATAGGGAATAAGCTATTACCGTAGGTCTCATGGTAAGACCTAGACCCGGGACCGATTTACTTTTTCGTTTTGAGGTCCCCAGAGGCCAAAAACACCATCCGTTCAAATTCATATATATATATATATTTATATATATATATATATATATATTTATATATGTGTCCGTTAGCGCGATAACTCGAGCAAAATTGATCCGATTTTGATGAATGGTACAAACGTGTAAACCTACATTTATTCGAACGAGTTTGCGAACCAGCATAATCGGACCATGGCATCAGGGGTTTATGGGGGGTTTTATGGGGTAAAAATGGGTTTTTCTAATTTTTGACCCTAAAAACTTTAAATTTCTAAATTTCTCTCTAGACCATTTTGTAGAGCTTAAAAAAACAAATAATTTAGTATATTGAAGAGTTTTTTAATGTTCATTGACTACGGAGAAAATTTAAAAAATTGTAAATTTAAAATTCCCATGTTATTCTTATGGAGAATAAATAAACTGTTCTAGTTTGCTTGTTTATGGATATATTTTAATCAAATTTGGCAATTTGGTTTATTTCATAGTAAGCTATCAATATTTCAATTGAAAAAACACACCTCAACATCTTCCCCGTAGCAGCAAACCTAACTACTAACTAAAATTAATGTTATTTAAATAGGAAATAAATCTGAAAATTTATAGGGAATATTTTAGTAGAAATCAAGCCGGGTAAATGGAAATTCGCTTAGTATGCAGGTTTGCTGCGACGGGGGTATTTTCCATAATATTTATAATTTTTTTGTGTTTTTCCCAAAAATAATGTCTGAGAAACGGAGTTGCCTTTTAGTACTTTTAGTGGATTACTGATCAAGTCAATAACTTGGACAGAAGGAAATCTATGAATAACATTGCAGTTTTGTCTGTACATTCCGTAGAATCCTGCAGTTTTAGGTTATTTTTACTTTTCATAGCCTAAGAAAGCCGAAACGAGTCTCATCTCAATTTCTGTCTGTCTGTCTCTTTGTCATTCTGTCTGTGACATAAAAGATGTGTAAAAAAATAGGTGTTTTCTGAAATGAAACCTAAATAACATTGAATGTAAACAAAAACAAAGTAAATTTACTAAACATAACATATGGTATTTTTTGAAACATAGAGTATGTTAGAAAAGACACAACAATTTTCCCCATTTAAAGTCTTGACCGCAGAATTTGTCTACATGTCGTCTGCATGTTACTCCGTTCTCCAGTTCAACGTTGTAATGTAGATTTCCATCTCTTGATGTAACTTTTCCGAAACTCCATTTTCTCTGACCCTTGTAGTAGTTTCTCACTTGAACACGGTCTCCGACCTTAAATATGCGTGTTATACCTTTAGGTTTGTCTTTTGAGTCCTCGATTCTAGAAGGTACCATAACACTGAGGTATGTTCTTGCTTGTCTGTGTAACATGAGGTAGTATGCCGAGTTTCCTGTTGAGTTTGGTACTTGACGGAGTTGAATTAACACCTTGTGAAGAAATTAGGAGGCTTGGAAGACTAAAAGCACTAAAAAGTTTCTTCAACTCCTTAATAGTCCAATCGGTAGTTGCTGTTTTTCTAGGTATTACCTCTACCCATTTGGAGAAGGCATCAACAACAATGAAAAATTGTTGTCCATTTGTTGGGCCCATGAAGGCCTTCGTGCATTTGTAATTGCTGTGATTTTATCCTTACTTTTGTGGATTCAAATGGCGTCAATAATATGTCCTAAGTATTCAATTTTAGTTTGAACAAATTTGCACTTGTCACGGTTCAACTTCAAATTTTGACTCCTTAGGCCTCTTGCCCACTATACGATTTCTTTCGTACGACAATGTGTCTTACGATATTCTTATCGTATGTGTGGTCCTCGCCCACTTTTATGACACTTTATCGGATAAATGACCAGTTTCTCGGTAGCCCTGGTAGAACGAGTATGTGTTGCGCAATATCTTAAAATGTGGTTCTGTATCAAATAGTAAAACGATGAATCCGTTAACGTGTGGTTGCAATGTGGCTTCTGTGGCGGACAGATTAAGCGATAGCCTAGTGGCCAATATAGGCCTACAGCATTAAAGAAATAATTCTTTTTATGTGTAGATTATTTCTTAAGTTAATGTATTTAAAGACATTTTCAAATTATTTAAGTCCACACATTTTAAAAGTTTTTAAATTTACCATAACTATCATAGGTTTTTGGGATAGTCTGGGGAACAGTTTGTATGTTCAATTTTTTGAATTTGTTTTGAAATATTAATGATTTAATTTTATTAATATAAGCCTCAAAAAGTAATATTTAGATATTAGTGAAACTATTTCACACAATATAATTAGTAGGCCTAGTAATGATTATAAAATATTAAATAATAACCAAACTTACATTGTTTCAATAATTATTTTGGGATATTTACTTATAATTGATGCAGTATACAAACATATTATAAAGAAAAAGAATGAACAAATTGTACAGGGTGAGGCAATGAGAACGCTACAATTTGTTTTACCTGTCACATGTTAATTGTTGCAACAATGAATGATCAGCTGTGCTTAAAACATCAATTAAACTATGCCATTTTAGTAAATATTATGCCTGAGGCTATCACCACTGAGATTTTGATGTGGAAACCTATTTATAAAATAGTGGTTCTTGTGCAAAAACCCAGAGATTGTTTGGACCTTATTCCATCCTTGGTCAACATGGCGCTGTTCCAGATTGGAAAACAACGTTGAACTGGGTAAAATTATTTAGGATAATCGCTTAAACAAAAAAAAAAATAATCGGTGGGTGCCGCAAAACTCTTTGTACACCAGCAAATGTTAAAAGAATATGAGTCCCAGTAACTCAAAGTCCGAAGAGATTTACCAGGAAGCTTTTGTTGTTGAAAGCTTTACGTTTGCTAATTTTTTTGGGAGGGGGGGTGGTTGTTCTAATAAGCTACTTGACGTTCTAGGTTTTTCAAAGTCACACCACAGATTTGCTTGAACCGAAGCTAAGGATAGTCCAAAAACTAAAGTGATTCCTGAAGAAGTGCTGGAGGAGTATTTGATGGAGTTTCAAGTGGCTAAAAAGGAATGTCAAGTAGGACAATCAATTCACTTGTAGGATTTTGTTCTCAAGAAATGGAAAAATGACTTTGTTAAGTTAAAATGGCAAAAGATAAGCTGTGTTTTGGTGTGCAAATAGCACACCAAAACACAGCTTATCTTTTGCCATTTATGCCCTATGGATATAAATAATATCCATAGGGTGAATATTATTGAGTTTGTACTGTTTATAAATTGGGGCGCTTTCATTGCCCCACCCTGTATATATTTTTTACAATTTGTTCATGTTTTCTTAGGAAGATCAAAATTACGCAAAATAATGGTTGAAAAAAACCAAGCGATATATCAAACATTATAATAAAAAAGTATGAATGAATTGTAAAAATATTTATTCACGATAAGGAATACGCAAGAGAATTGTAAAAAAAGGCAGAACCAAGTGATATAACAACTATAATAATGAAGAAGTATGAGTTAATTGTAAAAAGTATATATAGGACTACTGGGGAGAACGCACGACATGCGATAAAAATCGTATCGTGGGCGAGCGCCTATTTGATCGTGTACGCCACAGCGAGTTAGACAGTCGTGCTTACCGTGTTTTGTGATTACCGGCACTCTGGTTGTGTATCTTTAAAACCTCTTGTATCTCTTCCTTATAATAGTCTATAGTATTGTCAGTTTTGGTACAATGAATTTCTGTTTGTTTTGTGCCTAAACATACGCTAGCAATATGCCCTTGTTTGTTGCATTTCTTGCATATTTCTCCGATAAATTTACACTGATGTGCTCTGTGTCTAGGTGATCCACAACCAATAAATTTTGGTTTTGTTTCTGTACCTGCTATCTTGTTGATTTTCTCATTTGAATGAATGTTTTCTTCTATGAATGGCTTTCGTTCTTTGCCAATTCCATGATGGAGGCAAGTTTCACTACATCTTGAAACGATGCAGCAGATATTTCTTGTAATAATTTTGTTCTTATGTCTGAATTGCTAATACCTCTTATAAACTGCATACGTAGTAATGTGTTTGCAATTGATTTCCCACAATTATTACAGTTGAAGTCACAGTCTGAAGATAACTTTTGAAGCTCAAAGGAATATATTTTTACGGTTTCTTCAGATTTTTGTGTTCTTGTCATAAATTTGTGTTGTAAGGCCTAAGTACTAGGTTTAGGGTCTACATAATAGGCATAGGCATTTTACACAATCTTCTCCAGGAAAACGAAAGTACCTATCAAGATCCAAGTCATTTTAATGTATTCACTGGATTGGCGAGAGTGTCTTTAGCCATTAAAATATGGCCTCAGTACTTAGTAAAAAAAAATTACGGACGTTCAAAAATGCAATTTTGTACGATTTTTGTCAAGTTTTCGTCCAATTTTTATCACATAATGATCTATGAAATAACGAACAGCTGTTCGGATCTAGATTATTTTTTCTAGCTGTCACTGATATGTTTACAAATGTTGTTTACAAATACTGCAACCATTTCC